TCATCCAGGCCTTCTGTCTGTTGGTGTTCTTTTGCATTGGTTTGCTTCTCCATTCTTCCTCTCAATTATTTCAAAGAATAATTCATGCCTTTTTAATTTGCTGTCTGTTGTTTGCATTTTTTAAATGCTGATTTTCAATCTAGATTGGCAGTAGGAGTAGCAGCGGCAATAACAGGGAAGGGGCTGATGAAAATTGTGATGGAGACTTGCCTAAAACTATATCTTTAATTGGGTGGAGGATAGAAGCGAGCCAAATCTTGCCTTACTTCACTTCGGATTGCTGTTATACTCAATAAGGCCTAACGGGAGACTGAGGGAATAGGCTCAATGAACATGGCATCCATAACATAACCCTTATGTTAATTTAAATATGCAGTTTGCTCCTACTGTTGGCGGATAATAAATTTGTGACAGCACTGAAACAGCAGACGTCTCCTGAGACCAGGGTCAACTCTGCAGCCTCTTTCTCTTTCTTTTGCCTTGAATGAATCCGACTGCTATGATATGAATAATTGGGCTCTCCAGAGATTTCCACAATTGTGAGTTTATGCAGTGCCTGTTAGGCTTACAGTACAAATCCCACTGCGTAGCGAGGTGGCTTTTCAGATGGCAAAAGATCAAAGCATCGTAGTGTCATTTTCTTATGCAACATGCATGCCTTTCGTTTTCCTTATTTTTAATTATGAATGTATTCCTAGGCATGGGAAGGTCTCAGAAGAGATGAGATTTCTCAGCCAAAGCTTGTTTGTTTGTTTATATTTGTTTTGGAGATCATTTCCTCCAGAGAAATCTACCAGGTCATTTCGGTTGGTCATTTGCAAATACTACGTTTTTGGGTTACTTAAGACTTTCAAAAGGCAGGCCACTGATGCATATGAGTACATTTTAAGGACTAATTCTTCCTTGCGGGATGCTCTTGTTTTTATTACTGATGGCTGTGATGGTTTTGCGTATGTTAGTAATTTTTTATAAGCCTAAAGGGGTTGTCAAGACCCTTTGAGATTTCCTTTACAGCTGATAATACGGTATATCTATGAAGAAGGGAGAAAAATAAGCTTGATTTGGGAATTGGGATGAGATGAGAGCAAATACCTGCAGCCTATAAATGTTACGCTGCCATTGCATACTATACAACACTCCATCTGAGTCATTTGAAAACGGGTGTTTTGTTAACTAAGATGGGGAAGCCCCAAGGTTTCATGAGCCATGTTGAAGAGATTCCCATGTGCAAGCCAATTCTTTACTGCAATACATTTTGTTAGCCTGCTCTTGAAAATTGTTGATCACACTATCCCAAATTTGAAACGCTATCAATTTCCATTGCAGAATCCAAAATGGTTGACCAAGCAGACCCCTAACCCATTATGGGCCAGACCTTTTGAAAGGCCTCCTGTTTCTTTTATCAACTGTCAGTGATTGTCAGCCATCATTAGAAATCTTGTTAAATATTTCGCCAGCAAGAACACCCAACCCAACCCATCCCAACCAAACAATCAAGGGTTATATAGGACCTTTGCAGTAACAGTAGAAGAGACTAGAAGCATTTGAAATGTGGATTTACAGGCAGCTGTTACGTACGTATAAATTGGGCTGACAAAATCAGAAATGAGGAGGTGATAAGCCGCCTGGGAAAGCCAAGGGAAATCATCAAAACCATAAAAAAGTTAGAATATTTTGGACATGTGATGTGACACCCAGAAAAATATGGCATACTTCACTTAACCCTCCAAGGAAAGATTGAAGGAAAATGAGGTCCAGGCAGAAGAATCATGGCTTCAAAATCTAAGGGCTTGGTTTGGACAAAACTCAACAGCACTTTTTCGTGTGGCTGTTGATAAAAATAGGATTGCCAACATGATCGCCAATGTTCGATGATGGATACGGTAGAAGAAGGAGAAGGAGAAGGAGAAAGAGAAGAAGAAGGAGAAGAAGAAGAAGAAGAAGAAGAAGAAGAAGAAGAAGAAGAAGAAGAAGAAGAAGAAGAAGAAGAAGAAGAAGCAGCAGCAGCAGCAGCATATTTGGCACAGCTTATTCCTTATGCTGCTTTTCTTTCAAGAGATCAACACTGATTTGAAGCATTAGCATTCTGTACTCACAATGGATTGTCTTTTGCTAATCCTTGGTTTCATGATCAGCTTTAATGTTGTTATTGCTGGTAAGCAGAGGAGTTTATCAGATCTATAAATTAGAATGCCATTAGCTGTGCACATGGCTTCAACTTCCAACTGACCACTTCTTCTCCATCCTGGCTTGCCAAAATCTAAACCTTACATTTTAACGGACATCATCACATGCACGATGGATAGACTGTAGGCCTTGCAAATAAACCCAACACCATCTGATTACTTCAAATAAGAAAAACGTGATGAACCACATGTTCTCTCTTTTTTCCCACCTATGAATCAAATAAATGATGCAGTTTGTTCACATATATTATTAAAGAGAGAGATTGGGGGGGGGGGGAGAAGAATATGCAAACTAGGCTGATTGTGTCTGACCACTGATGCTGTAACAATGAATTGGCCCGTTTTCTATCAAGCAAGCCTGAATGGCACATCACTGCTGAATGATTCCAGTGAAATTGAATTGGCCTTTTCTCAGGTTTTAGTCATGCACCCATCCATCAAAAACAGTGCTTAACCAGAATGCAAGATTAATGACTGCCAGAGATTTAATTTGCTAATACCTGAAAGAGTCACTAATGGGGTTTGGGAGTGTTATGAAAGGTGGAGGAGGGGAAACTGAAGAAAACACGATTATGGTTCCGAAAATCAGCCTTGTATGTAAGCCCAGCCATTTATTAATAAGTCTGGGAGAAGCCAGAGTTCTATGGTTTCACTATAAACTCTCTAAAAAGAGCTGTTTTTAATTATTTATTCCCTGTTCTCAGCAACACAAACAAGTACTTTGCAGTGCATTTTGGCTTAGCTGTCTTTTAATTTCCTTAAAGTTAGTGAAAAAAATTGGGTTTCTTTTTTTCAGCTTCCAAGAGAAGACGCAACTATCATTCCATGGTTTGTTGCCTTTAGATTCACACAACCATCACTCTTGAACTTCTCCGTGTTTCTCTCCAATAAGGCAGCTCTTGTTCATTCATGGGAATCTTTTATTTTGTTTTTAACATCTGTTTCTCCAGCTGGACTAAAAGCCAACTGGAGCTTGACATGGGATTTAAATGCTTATTTCATTTAGAAGGACAACTCTCCCAAACCCTGCAATCTCCAAAAACAAAACATATTTTTTCCCCAGGATGAGATAAATACTATGCATTTGTAAGGATTTAATGCACAGTTCTGATGTTATTCTCCATGCTTCTGGATGAATAGAAATGAAAGGTGGATATCTTTGTAGGTCTGAGATGTTTATTAGTCTTTATGGTTGGGGGGGAAATTGGGATACCATACTTCAGATATTGTGCTTTTAATTTAAGGGTTATATTTTGATGTGCATATCCCAAGAGTCTCTAATTCTGCACTTGTGCAATTATCTGCTGTGGGCTTGCCTGGGCAAAGTGTGTAATGAAGTGTTCGGACATCATTGCCACTTTCCTTTTGCAAACCCGTTCCTGTTTAAAAAAAATTACTCTCCAAAATTGATGTAACTTTGGTTTAGCTCAGCCAATTGCTTATTCAATATACCATGGTTAAACAAACCATAACTCATTGCCATCTTTGTCCAGCTTTTGCACATCCTCTTTGCCTGCTCTTGTAGGCAGTACAGAAGGTCTTATTTATTTATTTATTTATTTATTTATTTATTTATTTATTTATTTATTTATTTATTTATTTATTTATTGGTTCGATTTATATGTCGCCCTTCTCTGGAAACTCAGGGCAGCTTACAATGCATTAAGCAATAGCCTTCATACTTTTGTATATACCTGCTTAGTAGGGCTTTCGACCCCCCTGAAGTGGTGTTCTTTTTATACAAAGTCACCTTATTGCCCCCACAATCTGGGTCCTCATTTTACCTACCTCGAAAGGATGGAAGGCTGAGTCAATCTTGAGCCTGGTGAGATTTGAACTCGCAGTAATTGCAGGCAAATGGTGCTACTTAACAGCATTTTAGTCTGCTGCGCCACCAAGGCTCTTTATCTTCCAAACTTCCAGTCTGATATTATGAGTGATGTGGAGGAAATCCATTTTCAGGTGAATGGGACTGTTAATTGAGAAATTTGAGACCTAAGGAATGTGTCCTTGTAGCTCACAGTAGCCTGTGGAAAGCTTTATCGGAACATCCCCATAGCAACCCCTGAATCTCCAGATGCAAATGCTTCTTAACAGAATAACAGAGTTGGAAGGGACCTTGGAGGTCTTCTAGTCCAACCCCCTGCTCAAGCAGTAAACTCTATACCAGGGGTCCTCAAACTTGGTAGCTTTAAGACTTGTGGACTTCAACTCCCAGAATTCTCCAGCCAGCATAGCTATGCTAGCTGGAGAATTCTGGGAGTTGAAGTCCACAAGTCTTAAAGCTGCCAAGTTTGAAGACCTCTGCTCTATACTATGTCAGACAAATATTTATCCAATCTCTTCTTAAAAACCACCAGTGTTTGAACACCCACAACTTCTGAAGGCAAGTCGTTCCACTGATTAATTGTTCTGTCAGGAAATTTCTCCTTACTTCCAGGTTGCTTCTCCCCTTGATTAGTTTCCATCCATTGCTTCTTGTCCTGCCTTCAGGTGCTTTGGAAAATAGGTTGACCTACTCTTCTAACAAGGCCATCATTCTCTGTAGATAACAGAAGTAACTTAAGATTTGTAATGTTATTATTTGTGAATACACACGAACGAATCATTTTCCCTCCTTTCTGAAATGGATAAATATTAGTGCATCTCTTTTGTCTACAGGGCTGTGTCTTCCACTTTTCTTCTGGATAGGACCCACTCCAGTACACACTACTAAATAAAAAAAATACTTCAGGGAGTCTTGATTATTGGTTGTTTGGTTCTGCATGTGATTCCACAGTGACAGTCAATGAACTAAAAAGGAAAACGACTTACTTCTCTGGGAGCGAGCACAGCAGAAAGCCACAATGGTGGCCATCAGGACTAAGAAAGCCACCCCAGCTCCAACGGCCACACCTATGATGACTGCCATGGGCACTGACTCTGGAAGAAACAAGAAAACAAATGAAGTGGAGAAGGAATCCCTCTGTTTCTTTTTCCTTGCCCCACGCTTACTACCAAGACCTCAATGATTTATTCTCAAGTCATTATTTATTCTCAGTTTTGCCCATATCATCAGTAAGACTAGTTCTTACTCAATGAAATGGACACAGGGTTAGAAATGCATGGCGGACTACGATGAAATGGAAAGGAACATGTGGGTTTAGGAATAAGGCTTGTTTTGGGTCACTAACCCTTGGATCTCCTGTGTTTGTCAAAATAAAGTCAACATTTGGCTGCCAAGTCTGGCTAGGATCCAATCCCTTTCGGCTGCTTACATGAAATATTGAGACCTCTGTTGAGGACAGAGAAGTGGCTTTGATAGAAGTAAAATTAATATTGCTTGCGTAGTTTGGGTATCTGAGTGTATGTAGAGTAAGTGCATTATTTATTGAAGGGTACAGGATGGGTTACTTTATTTGAAGCTATTTTGCTTCAACTGTAAAAATTTTTTTGAAGTTTTTGACATCCTCCTGTTGAATCATCCTTATGAGTATGGCTTGACTAGACTTATCTTTCCTACTTCTGTTACTAATAGCAGCTTCTCCGGAGTTCAATTTCATCTCCCTCAATCTTATACATGTACTGCGTAACAGTCCTCTTCTCTGTTGTTGCAATTTTGGAGAACATTGAAAGCATCCACTTCTACTTGTAAAGGAACATCTGATTACGTTTGAATTTGGGGAAGTATTAAAAGCACCCCCTTCATGAATCTGTCTCGAGGATGGAGAATCTGCAAGCTAAGGCTTGCTGGTCTTTATATGCAGTGATTTAGGATGACATCTGAGGATGACATCATAATTCTTGGTTCAACCATAGTTTGGTGGTTATGAGCCTAGGAGTGGCTTTTTGTGTGCTGTCTACTTTGTGAAATGATTATTTGTGTATTTATTTATTTAATTAATTTATTTATTTATAGTGACCACAGAGATAGACCTTCTCCAGAAGGAAGTTAACTAAACACTTCCTACCATGCTATCACAAAACGACTCAATGCACGGGATAAAAATTTGGTGAGTTTTTGAAAAGTTAAATGCATTTTTTAAAAAAAAAATAAAAAAAAATTCCTTGGTTAGTTCTTGCTTAGCTTCTGCTTTGTAACGGATTATGATTGAACGGTACTTTGGGCTGAGGACATGCTGTCTAAATTAATTGTTGCTTGTCAAAAATGATCCCGAGGAAGTGGGAGTGAAATATAGGAACGCAAAATAAAACTAGCAGCTGTCAAAAATTCAACTTTTCTGTCATTTTACGTCTTCTCCATCCCCCCCCCAATAATCCAGCCAGTGTTTAGATTTCAGACCCCTTCCGGAGAGTCCCTGCACTCCGATACGAATGATTGCAAGTTATATTTGTGAAAGGTTGATGAAGAAATGGTATGTTGATGTGAAAGGAGGGGAAAAAATCTTTTCCATCCTTTGGTTACAGGAGAATCTACTGAAATAGTCTCACACTCCTGGGGGATAAATAATATATTGCTATTTCCTCACCTGGTATTACCTTCTCCATCTCAAGACCAGCCCTACCATTATGTAAAGTGGTAGATGTTGAGGGAACAGTAACGTCAAGCTTTGGCTGAGCCCTGAGTCATTTTGTTTTGCTCTTTGTTTGAAGACTTCGTTCTTGGTCTGGGGACAATTTTACCTCTCCTGGGTTCATAAAGCAGCAGTAGAAAATGGTATCTCCCACCAGGATAATAAGAAGGGTAGATTTAACAACTGATCCTGTTACCTTCTGTTGCCAGAATAGGGAGGGGGGAAAAACAGGGGCAGTAAAATCAGGGGCTGGGGGTTCACAGGGGTTCAGGAGAACCTCTAGCTAAGATTCTGTGCAATTAGGAGAACCCTCAAATCCCACTCCTGGCTGGCCCTGCCCTGCCCTCCCCTCCCAGGAGTCGCCACATGGCCCATTTTAGATGTATGCAAGTGCAGGGAGCATGTGCAGGCTCAGGGAGGACAAAAAATGGGCCTACTGAAAGTTTGGGAAGGCCAGAAACAGGCCCATTTCTGGCCTCCAGAGGGCCTCCAGAGCCTGGGGAAGCCGTTTTCGCCCTCCTGGAGGCTCGAAGAAAGCCTCCGGAGCCCGGGGAGGGCAAAAAGCCCCCCCCCCCGTGGTGCAGGAGGCTGACTAAGCCATGCCTACCATGGCCAGGGCAGAAAACCCCTTGCTAAAATTTTTGAAGCCCACCCCTGAGTAAAATATCTTAGCATAACCTTGATCCCAAACTATAGATGGGAAGAAAGAAACAAATATTTGGGAAAGAAAAAGATTCACTGATCAGGAGAAGAATTCAAGGGAGTGTATTATGTTGACATTTTTTTTGTCAAACTTGTTAACTGGTGACTGATAGGATATGGAGAACCAGACATCTTCAGCTTCTCAGCACAAACTTAAATGTCCAGACTGAAATGTGACAGATTTAAAAAAAAAAAGTTTTGCAAAAGACTGCATGCTTTCAACTCTCCAGACAGATTCGCTCATCATTTGAAAGAAGTGGATAATTCACAAGAAAAGCATATCAGACTCATGAACCAATGTTGTAACAGGGAGACCTCGTGTCTATGGAGATTCTCAGTCATCCAGGTCATAGTTGTCCCAAAGGTGCTGTTTCAAGAGGCAACTGGACTTTCTTGTTGTCTTTGAAGACTTTTCATTTCTCATCCAAGAAGCTTCTTCACTCTTCAAAGACAAACAAGAAAGTCCAATTGCTTCTTGAAACAGCACCTTTGGGACATGGAGACCTGGTCTTGTTCATTCATTGTTGGTGACTTCAAGTTTACAGTTCAATTCATTATTCTTAGTGTTGTTTTTGAAGATGTTAGAAATGTCAGTTAGCAGAAACTATTGCCGTCCACATTTGGGTAGACAAACAGTAAACATCGGTGGGAACACCTGACAACTTCATTGATTTTCAGTAGGATTGCAGATATATTAAAGAAACGGTTTGATGTATTGCTCTGATTTTGGCTTGCTTTCATGTCATGCTTAATTTGATACCAAAGATATGATTGAACTGTCTCTCTTGTTGATTGACCACCGGCCGCTTTCAATTACTGGATTTGGAAATCATCACAGTTGCTTGTGGGGTTTGAAGAATAATTCCAGATGGAATATTGAAGAACCGGGAGTTAGCACGGTGCAAAGGGAATTTGTTAAAGCCGAATGAATCAGTGGAAATTTTTTCCTCTTATACATGAACTTTTGCTTTTATAGTGGGTGTGTTCTCGCAGGTCCTTATCCCTACTGATAAGGAAAGTGTGGTGATATAAGCTTTTCATTATCTAGGCCTCATCAAGATATCAAATCAGGTTTGAGATTCCATGAGTCAATCAAGTTAATTTTTGAGTCTGACAGCCCTAAACTTATAGGTAGTCCTTGAGTTACAATTTGGACCAGAACTTCTGTCACTAAGTGATTTCCTTTGTTTGTTAAGTGACTAATGTGGTCATTAAAGCGAACCTGGCTTCCCCCGTTGATGTCGATTGTCTCCTGGAAAGGTCGCAGATACATGCTGGCTGCCAAGCACTCACATTTTAATAATTGCAGGAATATAGGTAGTCCTCGACTTACGACCACAACTGAGCCTAAAATTTCTGTTGTTTAGCGAGACAGTTGTTAAGCGAGTTTCACCACCTTTTGACGACCTTTCTTGCCCGAGTTGTTAAATGAATCACTGCAACTGTTAAGGGTTCTTAAGAGGATCTGGCTTCCCCCATTGACTTTGCTTGTCAGAAGGTCGCAAAAGATCACACAATCCTGAGACACTGCAATTGTCATAAGCACAGGTCAGCAGCCGAATTTTGATCACATGACCACGGGGATGCAGTAACGGTCATCAGTGTAAAAAAATTGTTGTAACTCACCTTTTTTTCAGGAATGTCGTAACTTCGGTCACTAAATGAACTGTTGTAAGTTGAGGACTACCTGTACTGCAATGGTCGTAAATGCACAGACTGTTCATAAGTCGCTTTTTTCAGCCCTGCCGTACCTTCAGAGAGTGATGCATTATCCTTACGAGTGTTTGTAAGTCAAAAACTATCTGCCTGCTGTTTTCCTTTACCATGGAAATATATGTCTCTTTTTGCTTGCAGTATGAGAAAGCGATTGTGGTTATTTCAAATCTATGACAGCGACCATTGTTATTAAAATGCCCTCTGCTTGCAGGTGTCTCAGCAAACAATGGAGATACCAGGAGATGCCATCTGGCGCTTCCCTGTCTCTGCCCCCATTGCTGTTAGGGATCTACTGTGGGTGAGATGGAGCCTGTTCAGTCTTAATGGCACAATTCATGCTTCTGCTTTTTCATCCCTTTCCCACGCTTTTGTGTGTCTGATCGGGGAATGATTAGAGGCGTGGTTTCACGATGAAGGGACAAAATCAAGGGCATGGAGCTTTATACGTGCTTCAGTTCTTTTGTGTACAGCAAATAGTTATTTGCTGCTATCTGGATCAGTAGGATGATGGCTTTTTTTTTTCATCCTCCTTGTTATTTGTGTATTTTGTCTGTTGGAAAGGTTGTCCAAAGATTTAAAGTGAAAATTTCAAGGCTATCGGATAAATCGGGTGTCCTTTTTCTAAGGCTAGAGTGAAACTGCACCAGTCTCAAAGGGGTAAAACTGAGAGTCGGCCTATAATTCTGCATCCTTACCAACCTGAGTTTTTCTGTGCTCTTTAATCTGTATCAGGGATGCCAAACCTGATTTCATTGAGAGCCGCATCCAGGGGTGAAATTCAAAATTTTTCTCTACCGGTTCTGTGGGTGTGGCTTGGTGGGCGTGGCAGGGGAAGGATATTGCAAAATCTCCATTCCTATCCTACTCTGGGGCCAGCCAGAGGTGGTATTTGCCAGTTCTGTGAACTACTCAAAATTTCCACTACCGGTTCTCAAGAACCTGTCAGAACCTGCTGGATTTCATCCCTGGCCGCATCCGGATAGTTTTTGACCTCAGAGGGATGGGTGGGCATGGCCAGCTCAACATCACTCCTATCGAGGGCAGCTGTGGTGGCCCGAGCACTCTGAAAACAGGCTTCTGAGTTCCATTTTCAATTGCCACAGTCTCCTGCAACCCTTGCCAATGAAAACGGAGCTTGGGAGGGCCACGTGCTCCATTTTCGCTGACAGAGGCACTGTGGGCCACTCCTTCACTGTTTCCAGGGCAGCCCTATGGGCCAGATCTAAGCACCCCAAGGGCTGGATCCGGCCCCCGGGCCTTGAATTTGACATCCCTGATCTATATCAATGGTTCTCTTGTCTTCACCATGGACCAGGGGTGGTATTCAGCCAGTTCTACCCGGTTTGGGCAAACTGGTAGCGGCAGCGGTGGGAGGCTCCACCCACTTGCCCGGACATTTTCATGTCCTGTTTTTGACGCTCTGTGCATGCGTGGAAGGTCCTATGCATGCACGGAGGTGGCATGTGTGAGTGAAGTGAGTGAACTAGTAGCGAAGGTAAGTGAATACCATCCCTGCCACGGACCCCCTCCCCTTTAAATACCTTTTGTGAGAAGCTTCCCTTCTTTCCTTTAGCTGTCTCTAGCTCAGTGTTTCTTAAGCATGAAAACTTGAAGAGGCCTGGACTTCAACTCCCAGAATTCTTCATCTTCAGGCTTCCACGCTTGAGAAACATTACTATAGCTCAGTGGTTCTCAACCTTCCCTTCACCATGGGCTCCCTTTCAATACCTTTTGTGGCCATGGACCCACAAGACTTAACTCAAGATTTAAATTATAACATTTCTTCAAGCCTTCATGGACCCCCAGAGGTCCGCGAACCACAGATTGAGAACCACTGATCTATACATTTTTGTTCATTTTTATTGATATTTATTGCTTGTATATTGTGTGTGTGTGTGTGTGTGTGTGTGTGTGTGAACCCTAGTCCCCATATTCTGAAAAGTGAAGATTACAATATGCATGTAGCTTCAACTTTTTCCAATATAATCCAACAGATCCGAGGCTGGTTTACGTATCCCAGAATTCTGATAGCTCTTTTTTTAAAATTGTTGTTTGTTTTCATCTTTTTTTCTGCCAATGTTCAAGATCTTGGTCCATCTCTTGGTCCTGGTTACATTACCGAGGGCCAAATTTCCTGCAGAATTAATTGGGATCCACCTCTGCAGATTTTCAGAAAAGTTTGCAGCTGCTTCTTTTGGCCTTGACTTAAATGAATTTTGTTGAATTGTTCTTTTACCTGTTTGAGATTGCTTTCCAGGATGAGTTGTTTTAACTGCTCCTTGTTCTTACTGTTACCGTTATTCTTATTTTTTTTATAGTGCTTTTATAGACATGAATTTATGATTATAAGCCACCTTGGGGAAATTTTGTCCTTAAAAGAGGTCTAGAAATATTTCAGGTATCTCAAATGAACAAATGACAGTGATGGTCCCTGTGGGCAGAAAGGGAAAAAAAATAATAAGATGGCATCCACAATTATGTGATTGAAGCACTGCTCCTCCCCTTTTAATGTACAACACATGTGTGTGTCAGCCCTCTAAGATCGACCAAATTTGAAAACCAAAGACATGCAAGCTAATACTACATATATTATAAAGTTTAACACAGGTAGTCCTCAACTTATGACCACAATTGGGAACAGGATTTCTGTTGCTAAGTGAGGTGGCTTACATGAGTTGTGCCTGCTTTTATGGCCTTTTTGCCATGGTTGTTAAGCAAAGCCATGGTTGTTAAGCAAAGTGCTGCAGTTGTTAAATGAATCACAGGTCTTTAAGTGACCCTGGGATGTTGTAACCATTGTAAACACACACACTAGTTGTCAAGCACCTAGGTTTTGATCACGTGACTGTAAGGATGCTGGGACGGCCATAATGTGAGACTGGTTGTATGTCACTGTTTTCAGTGCTGTTGTAGCTTCGAACAGCCACTCAATGAATGATTGCAAGTCAAGGACTACCTGTATATCAAATATTATAGTAACAGAATCTTGCAAGTCTTAATGCACATTCCCTCCCCACCCTCCCTTTTTCTTTATGGGAAGCAGGGAGGGTCATGTCTAAGATGCTTTCTCAAATCGCATTCCTGTCCCAGACTCGTATTTCTTTTATCTCACCATTGTCTTGGTTGCGGTTCTTCCTCCTGTTCCTCAAGGTTATTCCTTCTGCCCATCACACACAAGAAAAGAGCAGGGCTTGGATTACACGGCTGCAGAAGCCATCTTGCCATTTTTGTCTCCTCCCACCACCACCACCATCATCACCAGCTCCACCATCATGAATGACCTTGGCAACCATGCAGATTTCAAGTCATGCATGGCTCCTTGACTTAATTTTGGAAGCCACTTACAACGATCTTCCAGGTTCTTGATTGGGATAATCTTGGTTTTCCCTGGCAGCCTGATGGATGAGGAAGACGAGGTCGGAGGGGGAGAGAGTGAAATGCCAAAAGAACAAAGCAATGGCCGCCTGCTTTAAATTGTGAACCCACTCCATCTGCTAATGACCCATGGCAGATTAGGCCCAAGGGGATGTGAATTTAGGAGAAACATTTTTCCTGTTCTTGAGTGGTGCGGTGGCCTAGAGGTGGCGCTCTCGCCTCACAATCAGGAGGCTGTGAGTTTGATCCTAGGTAGAGGCAGATATTTCTCTTTCTGGACACACTGAGAATATATCTGCTGAATATAACTCCGCAATAGGAATGGCATCTGGCCAGTAAATACTTGGCTCCTTTCAGTTGCCCAGACTCTACCCCGCAAGGGATTATGGGGTCATTAAAAGAGGATGACGATGATTTTTCCTGTTCCTGTTCTTGGAATGTAGGTGGAACAGGAAAGATGCTGCCAGCCAAGCTTTCAGAGTAACACACAGGCTGATCCAGAGGTAAGTGAAAAGCTTTTATGAAGGGAAGATGAGGTCCTAGTAACAAATGCAAACATGGAGAGAAAGATGGATTGTGATGGGGCTCATGCAAGAGCAGAGCAGGATGATGGGATGGGAAGAAGCTAGCAAAAAGCGGTTTTCAGAAACATGGTAAACATAAGTCAGCAAAATAATTCCTGCATTGGAACGGTCATTTCTGTTTCCCCAAAATATCTAACCAGAAACTAACCATGATCAATTCCTTGGATTCCCACAAGCTTGCCAAAAGGAGTAAGTAAAATCTCTAGGAGAAAATCATAGTTAATTTAGCAATAGAGGGAGGTATAGGCTATACCTGAAATTGAATTTTGCTTGTGGTCGTTTTGACATGCCAGTATTCATTTTAGAGACCAGGTTCAATCGGTTGGACATGGCTTAAAGAACATGTTAATAGGCCATTCGTGGGGCATTTTCCAGTTCTGGGTCTAAGGATAAGTAAGATATCCTCTTCTTCGTGCTCACCAATTCATCCCCTTCGGTAGTCGTAGTATGAATTGTAGCACTCTCCCATTTGGAACTGGGAGGACTGGTAGGAATGGGAGAACTTTAAAGAACCCAAGGATTCTGAAGGCTAATCAACCCTTCCAACAATTCTTCCTCTCTCAGGCATCCTTTTACCTCCTGTTAATGGATGTGGCATAACTGTTTCATTGGGATTAGCTTGGGAGATGGGGGGAGTTCAGTTCACAGAGTCACCTTCACTCATAATTCCGTACCTGTTTCCATACCAGCTCCTGACTTCATTTCCGTACCTGTTTGAAAATAAAGCAAGTGTCTACAGCCAACGCCCAACTGCAATGTCACTTCAGTTTTTGTTTTTGTTTTTTTACTTTTGCCGGGGTTGCCTTTTATAGAGTAAGCGAATCCCGGGGAGGTTTTGCCCATCATTTCCAAAGGCAGCTTCAGGGGCCGTGCCCACACTTGTTGCAAGAGTGAGGGGGTTCCGAAATTCAGGGTTGCCTCTGGACATCAGGCAACACCCATCTGAGGGTCCGTCATCTTTCAAAATATACTTGGAGGAAATTGCTTGTGGTGGGGCCTAATTTTAGTATACTACCATTTTCATTCCTGCACATGGGGGTCTCTTTGCAAGACTGCCTATTTCAGTGAAGAAGAAATAAAAAAGGAAGGAAGGAAAGAAGGAAGGAAGGAAGGAGAAGGAAAGGAAAGGAAGGAAAGAAGGAAGGAAGGACAGAAGGAAGGAGAAGGAGATGGAGAAGGAGAAAAAAGAGGAAGAAAGAAAAAAGAGAAAAGGAAGGAAGAAAGGAAGGAAGGAAGGAAGGAAAGAAAGAAAGAAAGAAAGAAAGAAAGAAAGAAAGAAAGAAAGAAAGCTTTGCTTGTGGAAACCGATTTTCTGAGGAAATGAATTTAGCTGAATGGTGGGCAAGATATTTTAGCTTTCCATCTGCAGAATGTTTTAAAATCCAGGGGAACATTCAAACATTCAGCACTTATAGGCAAAAGGGTTATAGTCCTGGGACCGTTGTATATATGATTAGATTGGCAGTTGGAAAAGCAATTGTTGGAAACGTTATTCCCTTTCCTATAGCCCTTATAAATCAACCAGCAGCTTTTCAACCTACATCAAAATGAGGCTGCTATTTTTGGCAGAGCCGCCTGCTTCCCAAGACTGCTGGGCAGTCTGCAGTCACCTGTTCTTTATGAGCTCTGCAGAACAGTGGTCCATCTCAAATGATCTTTAATTACATTTATCTGTATTGTGAACAACTCAACAACTCCTTGCAGAGTGCTTTTACTGGGATCCACACTTTCTTAGCGTTGCAAATAACATCTGCTTGCCCAGGGAAGGCGGGCAACAGGAAAACAATCTGCTAAACTTTATTTATACTGGGCTGAAACCAAGGCTGGCTTTAAATCCGTTTAATTTCAGTTTCATCTGAAAGGGAGCCTTGCCTTTAAGTGAGAACTTAATGAGAACAGTCCAAGTGCCCACTCTAACTTTTAAGAGGAAGTGATGGAACTGGAGACCCTACAGAATCAATGTATAAATGGTATAGGACATTTATACATCCTGCTTGAACAGGGGGTTGGACTAGAAGACTTCCAAGGTCCCTTCCAACCTTCCTGTCCCGTCCCGTCCTGTCCTGTCCTGTCCCTATTCTATGAGGGTTAAAAGGGGACCTTTAAAATTATAATCATGTTTCAATCAAAAGCATTTCCTTTTAGAATTTTTTGAATTTAGAATAACAGCCTTTGTGGCACAGCAGACTAAAGCACTGTTAAGTAGCACCAGCTGCCTGCAATTACTGCAAGTTCAAATCTCACCAGGCTCAAGGTTGACTCAGCCTTCCATTCTTCCAAGGTAGATAAAATGAGGACCCGGATTGTGGGGGCAATAAGCTGACTTTGTATAAAATAGAACACCGCTTGGGGGGGCCAAAAAGCCCTACTAAGCAGGTATATACAAAAGTATGAAGGCTATTGCTTAACGCATTGTAAGCCGCCCTGAGTCTCCGGAAAAGAGTGGCATATAAATCGAACCAATAAATAAACAGAATTGAAAGGGACCTTGGAGGTCTTCTATCTAGTCCAACCCCCTACTCAGGCAGGAAACCTTACACCATTTCAGACAAATGGCTGTCCAATTTCTTTTTAAAAATTTCCAGTGTTGGAGCATTCACAACTTTTGCAGGCAAGTTGTTCCACTGGTTAATTGATCTAACTGTCAAGAAATTTCTTCTTAGTTCTAGGTTGCTTCTCTCCTTGATTAGTCTCCATTTTATGTGACTAAACAGGAAATATAGCCCATCCTGTAAGTAGGTTTCATGAATTACTGTTGATTTCAGCAATTAGCTAAATCAGATTGGTTATACGGTGTTATATCATATATTATGATCCCAGGATGGATCACTAGACAAAAAATGAGATGGAGAGAGGATATTTGCAATTAAATTCTGCAGAACAGTAACTGGGTGGTCATGAAAATCTAGAATAGATAATGGTGCAGGCTATTTTCTCCAAACCATTATTTGCAAGCCGAAATCTGAAGGATGCTACTCGTATCTGTAATTTATAATCCCCAAAGAAATTATGGTATCTAAAGGAGTTTATATGACTCTAATGCTAATGCAGAAGATCATTACAAAGGTAAGGCGGTTTAAACGATGTATCCCATTTCCCTCTTTCCCTTCCAGTATATAATGGCTTCACTTCTGCATGCTTGTGCCATATTAGTTAAAGCTTATTTTCCCCAATGCACACAAGTTTTGTAATTTTCCCTGCCTCCCCTAATTGGTAACTTTCTCAGGCCTTTTAGTTTAAGATTGTTATCTCTTCCTTTTAGAATATCTATCATTATTCCAGACAATTGCTTTAGTCTGGCAAGATTAATGTCTGGCCCAAAGAACCAAGAGTGACATGCGAAGTTACTTATGAGTAGTTCCTTTATTGTTGTTTGCCTGCAGACAGAATCTTGCCAGACTAAAGCAATTATCTGCCATCACTATAGAATAACCTTTGATTGTTAGGGAGGGTTTGACCTTGGTCTCTTCTTGCCTGTCAGACATTCCAAGTCCCTCTGTCTCTTTGCCCTCTGGGAAAGAGCTCTCCTGGGACTCCCGACTACATTCCACTACAGCTTTGCTAATAAACCCTATAAACCTTTACTTCATTGTGTTTCTACTGCTTTTTCACATCCACGAGGCTAAGACCCTGATCTTGTCGATCGAAAGGTCGGAAGTTCAACAGTTCGAATCCCTAGTGCTGTGTAACAGGGTGAGCTCCCGTTACTTGTCCCAGCTTCTGCCAACCTAGCAGTTTGAAAGCATGTAAAAAATGCAAGTAGAAAAATAGGGACCACCTTTGGTGGGAAGGTAACAGCGTTCTGTGCGCCTTTGGCATTTAGTCATGCCGGCCACATGACCACGGAGACGTCTTCGGACAGCGCTGGCTCTTCGGCTTTGAAACAGAGATGAGCACCGCCCCCTAGAGTCAGGAACAACTAGCAGATATGTGCGAGGGGAACCTTTACCTTAAGATAGGAACTCCATTCTTAACTTCTATTTAACACAACTTCAACTCTTTTGATCTTCCCTTCTCAAAGTTTTCTGTCTGGGAGCAGAACAAGATCATTTTGTAGATCAACTAACTGGCCATATTTAGTGCATCCCATTTTTTCTATTGTGTTTATGGTGACACAAACACAAAGTCCTAGTGGGATGAACAAGAACTTTCTGAACTCCTCCGTCTGTATTCAGACTCTGAAGAAACATTTCTTCTCACTTGGCGCAATTTTGTTCTGCAGGCATGTCACTGAAACATATAGCTTTGCTTAAAACAATTTCGTCTGAATTCAATTTATATGTAAATCATGTTAGCGCACCATAAGGACAAGAAGTTAAAAGGCACCACTGAGTTTCAATGGTTGGTCAGGGTTTGGTATTCTCTACAGCAGGCAAGGCAGAACAGAAAGAAATGGGTGGGCCAAAGAGCAAAAAATTAAAGCCCCTAACTTCATCTAATTTAATTTGCATATTAAATGAGACGGGAAAGAAGAAGTGACCACAAACAAGGGTAGAAGCATATCATATTTTGCCAACGGTCCAAAGGCCAGCAATATGTCCAAGGGCAACATTAATTGTTTTTCTCTATATGTAAGAGAAGATATTCCCTATATCTGATTGGCTATAGACATTAATTCCATGATTTCCTTTGAATCAATTGAAGATGGTTTGAACAATACAAAACAAAAATCTCAACAAAGCAATGCTCACATTAGAGAAATTTGACGAAATACAAATTATGAATTGTGCAATATATAGATTTAACTCTTTGTTCAATGCATCTAAGCATTCTAAGAAGTCTCGATCATGGTTAATGCTCAGCAGGAATAGGCTTGATTTAGGATAAGCAGGAAGTAATTAATCAATTTACACTTCCAGATCATCATTAAATACTACGAGGCACAAACTAAGGCTTTTCCTTTCTCTGCTCTTAATCAGATTATTGTTCTGCTTCATCAAAGTTGGACTTTGGAACTTCTTTTGTCACGTTTTCCTAAGCCGAAGAGGCTTGCCAGACTTTGGAACTGCTACTCCATCCTCTTTGGTGCTTTGTGAATACTTGTACCTTAAAACATGGCCTTTTAACATTTCTCCCACTAGGAAGCCAGGCCCCCAGGTATGTCAAAACCTTGTGTTTTTATTTCATCCTATTTTAATCCTGCCTCTCTCTTTCATGTTCGGCGGGAAAAGCCTTCACTCCATTGCACCTGGGGTGACTCCCAGACTCCCTGGTTCTGGTTTTGAAATACCGCGGAAGCAATCCCCACCTTGTTCTTTTAAACGTATGATCTCGGTGTCCGAACCGAAACTGTTCCAGGCGGTGCAGTTGTAAATAGTCTGGAAGTCGGCCCGCACGATGTTGCTGATGGTTAGGGTGGAGATGACACCTTCATCGGTGCTGACGGTTTCTACCGTGTATCGCCCCGAAGTTCCAGACTCCAAGACGTTTTCCTTCCAGGACCAGGCCTGCAGATTAAAACGAAGTATAATCCCTTGTGCTTTTTAGCTACTATCTTCACTGCCTTTATGGAACAACAGAGTTGGAAGGGACCTTGGAGGTCTTCTATGGTAGTGACCAAACAATGTATGCATATATATGCATGGCCCTCAATTTACCACCACAATTGAGCCCAAAAGCTATGGGCTTTGCCCAGTGATGGGATTCAAATAATTTAACAACCGGTTCTCTGCCCTAATGTTTTCTTCCAACAACCAGTTTGCCAAACTGCTCAGAAAGTTAACAACCGGTTCTTTCGAAGTGGTGAGAACTGGCTGAATCCCACCACTGGCTTTGCCCCATTTTATGACCTTGCTTGTCACCATTGTTCAGTGAATCACTGCAGTTGTTACGTTGGTAACATGGCTGTTAAGTGAATATAGCTTCCCCATTGACTTTACTGCAGGAAGAGCCGTGGTGGTGCAGTGATTAGAGTGCAGTACTGCAGGCGACTTCTGCTGACTGCCAGCTGCCTGCAATTTGCCAGTTCGAATCTCACCAGGCTCAAGGTTGACTCAGCCTTCCGTCCTTCCGAGGTGGGTAAAATGAGGACCCAGATTGTTGGGGGCAATATGATGACTCTTTAAACTGCTTACAGAGGGCTGTAAAGCACTGTGAAGCGGTATATAAGTCTAAGTGCCATTGCTATTGCTACTTGTCAGAAACTGCAAGAGGGGACCACATGAGCCTGGAACCCTGCAACCATCAAAAATACATGCCAGTTGCCAAGAAATTTGATCACATGGCCATGGGGGTGCTGCAATGGACATAAGTGTTGGTCATATGTCACTTTTTTCAGTGGCATTGTAACTTTGAATGGTCATTAAATGAACTGTTGTAAGTCAAAAACCACCTGTTGATTTATTATTTCTTGACATCCATGAAAAAGGAACATCAGAAAGGTTAAAAATGTTATGCACCATCTTAACGTTATTCACATCAACCTATTTCTTCATGGAAGGACACGTCGTAGGGTCCACCCTTCCCTTATCAACCTCTTCTGAATGAGGTTTGCTGTGTGGCAACCAGGAGAAACATCTTCTCAGGGGTGGTTCCTTGGCTACAGGAAATGGCTACAGTCAATCTGACTTTTCCTTTTTCAATCTCCAGACATACAAAAATATAGCCCTGACTTTGATGCCTGATTTGCTATGTTATAAGAACCTTGGTGGCGCAGCAGACTAAAGCACTGTTAAGTAACACCAGCTGCCTGCAATTACTGCAAGTTCAAATCTCACCAGGCTTAAGGTTGACTCAGCCTTCCATCCTTTCGAGGTAGGTAAAATGAGGACCCGGTTTGTGGGGGCAATAAGCTGACTTTGTATAAAAAAGAATACCACCTGGGGGGGGGGGGCAAAAGCCCTACTAAGCAGGTATATTCAAAAGTATGAAGGCATTGTAAGCTTAACGCATTGTAAGCCGCCCTGAGTCTCCGGAGAAGGGCGGCATATAAATAGAACCAATAAATCGAATCAATAAATGTTATTCCCTCTTTCTCCCTCTGTTGCTCAAACTCCCTGGAAATATTTATTTAACCCTAGGATATCAATCTATTATCATGATAGGTGACCCTTGGGGGCACAGTGGTTAGAGTGCAGTACTGCAGGCTACTTCTGCTGACTGCCGGCTGCCTGCAATTTGGCAGATTGAATCTCACCAAGCTCAGGGTTGGAATGCTGATGCCGTATTGCAGGCTAACTCTGCTGATTGCCAGCAGTTAGCTCCTGACCGGCTCAAGGTTGACTCAGCCTTCCATCCTTCCGAGGTGGGTAAAATGAGGAGCCAGATTGTTGAGGGCGATAGGCTGACTCTGTAAACCACTTAGAGAGGGCTGTAAAAGCACTGTGAAGTGGTATATAAGTCCAAGTGCTATTGCTATTGCTATGCCCCGTGTCATTCACAACTTCTGGAAGACCCAAACTCACGATTCGGTCTGGTGGAGGTGTACTGCGGATGAAGCATTTGATCTGGCCTTTTTCTCCATGGAGAGCATGCTGGGTCTGTGTGCTGGAGATGATAGGAGGTCCTGGGAAGGAAGGAGAGAGAAAGTGGTGATGAAAGACTGCTTTACAGATAATCCTTGATTTACAACCGTTCATTCAGAGACTAAAGTTACATTGGCACCGAAAAACCAGACTTACAGCTGGTCCTTGCACTTATGACTTTTGAAAAGCCTGACAGCTGGTCCTCACACTTACAGCTTTTTTAAAAAAACTTGACTTACAGCTGGTCCTCGCACTTATGACTTTTGAAAAAGCTGACTTACAGCTGGTCCTCAGACGTTTGACTTTTGAAAAAGCTGGTCCTCACACTTATGACTTTTGAAAAACCTGATTTACAGCTGGCCTCAGACTTACGACTTTTAAAAAAACCTGACTTACAGTTGGTCCTCAGACTTATGACTTTTGAAAAAAACCTGGTTTACAGCTGGTCCTCGCAGTTACGACTTTTGTAGGTCAACTAGCTAGTCCTATTTAGAACATCATCCCATTTCTCCACTGTGCTTATGGTGACACAAACTCAAAATGGTAATGGGATGAACTTGGCATTTCTGAACTCGTTCATCTGGGCACGTTCATCCTCCACAGGGTCATGTCATCAAAATTGGGGGGGCTTGGCAACCGGCATATATTTACTATGGTTGTGGCATCCTGGGGTCATGTGATAGCCATTTGCAATTTACCCAGCCAGCTTCTGACAAGCAAATTCAAGGGGGCAAGTTGGATTCACTTAACAACTGTGGCAAAAACATCTTAAAATTAGTAACAGAAATTCTGTTTCCAGTTGTGGTAGTAAGTTAAAGGACTACCTGTGTTTTGATTTATTCTTTTCTTTTCCTGATCAATGCAGAAATGGTGGAGGGTTGTTTTTGTTTTTTAGTTCACAATGCCATTTGAATGTGTGCCACTCAAGGCAACTGAAGCTTAACCTGTCAATCCTTCCTGTCAATTATGTGTTTTATTTTTGGGTTGAAGCAGTGTGGCAAAATTGGGATTCTAACTTAGGAACGTCATCTGCTGAAAGGCTGGTGATCAGCAGAGGGCACTACAGCACAATGCAAACCCCTTCTTCCATCTTCTGTCTAACCAGCATAGCAGTCTAACATGGGCAAAACCAAAGCGGGCACGTCTGATTCTTAATAAGAAGCATTAGCAATCAAAATGAAATAAGCAAAGAGAGGATTAGGTAGGGGTGTATCCCTGTGAGTGCACACATTAACTCCATTCCCTAATCACTGATGACTGGAGTAATTTTAGTGTTCCCATGTAGAATGCTACGTTCAGCTAATGTTATGATAGATTATTACAAAGTTTAGGGGCCAGGTATGGGCAGCAAAAGGGATTGGCTTAATTTACCGTAATTCCCATTTCCTTCCGGAATTTGGAAGACAGCCTTGTTTATTACACAAATCATAATCATCCCCTCACACTTTCCTATCCTCCATTCTGCTTCCTGATTTCATTCTCACACGCATCTTTGCTATGTCCCAACTAACCAACGCCAGGGATTCAGGCATAAAGAACAATGAGGACTAAGAAATAGCTTTATGTCTTTTTTTTAAAAAAAGGTAGTTCTCCTAGGATTAGCACACCTCTGTTTCAAATATTTCCTTCCAAGCTGGTTTGATATCCTGAGGAACTACAGTAAATGAAGATCTCGTATTCCCCCAATGTTAATTTGAGATACAATCTCCATATTGGTTTCTTTGTACAAGTATGAATTGAAGTCAAATGGGAGTGGATTATCTTGGGCTAGTACCACAGCCCACACAATAGTCCAGTTTTGGTCACCATGATACAAAAAAAAAAAGATGTTGAGACTCTGGAAAGAGTGCAGAGAAGAACAAAAAGATGATTAGGAGACTGGAGGCTAGAACAAATGATGAATGATTGCAGGAACTGGGTATGTTTAATGTAATGAAGAGAAGGACTAGGGATGACATGAAAGCAGGGTTTCAATATCTCAGGGGCTGCCACAAAGAAGATGGAGTCAAACTATTCTCCAAAGCACCTGAGGGCAGGACAAGAAGCAATGAGTGGGAAGTAATCAAGGAGAGAAGGATCTAGAAATAAGGAGAAGTTTCCTGACAGTTAGATTCACAATTAATCAGTGGAACAACTTGTCTCCAGAAGTTGTGAATTCTCCAACACTGGAAATTTATTTTGCACAGAGGCTCAGGACCCAAAAGAGTTGTACCCAGAATTTGTAGCATGTTCATTTCTAGTTGATTCTATATTGTTCTTCTGACGTTCTTCAGAATCCCATTCCCAAATCTGAGGAATGGTTCTGGGATTGAACTGGGTATGGATCTAAGAGACTTATTAAAAAAAAAACAGTTATAGGAAACTGTTTTAATTTAACAGATTGAAAAAAAAATCTCTAGATGAGGCTTCCTTTAATCCTGCGTGGGGAGGAAGATGTTGTTTCTATTGTCTTCCAGTTATAGTATAGATCCGTGATATTGATATTTGTTTTCAGATAGGAAAGGAATGCTTAGAGCCTAATAATTCATTTGAACATGAATGTGCCTTCTGTGAAAAGAAGTCAGAAGATGGTTTGAGGAGCTGTCACAGAGAAAATGTGTGTGTTTGGGGCAGTGGTGAAAACTAAAATTTGTTACTACCAGTTTTGTGGGCGTGGCTTGGTGGGGGGTAATGTGACTGGGTGGGCATGGCCAATTTTTTTTTTTACTTTTAAAATTTAGCTGGGATCATCAGAGTTTGGCTCATCAGAGGCATTTAAAAGAAAAAAAGCCTCTGATGATCGCGTGGCTCAGCTGGGCATGGGGGGCGGGATAGGGATTTTTCCTACCGGTTCTCCGAACTACCGGTTCTCCGAACTGCCTGCCGCCATCGCCATCCTGGTCCGAACCGGGAGCATTTCACCCCTGGTTTGGGGGAGGGGAGGGTTGACCTATTCCCCAAAGGGCCACATAGCAGGACATGAAGTAATGGATGGAAGATTATCAATGAAAGATTTAACCTAGAACAGGGGTCTGCAACCTTAAGCACTCAAAGAGCCATTTGGACCTGTTTTCCACAGAAAACAAAACACCGGGAGCCACAAAACCTGGGTGGGCGTGGCCAACTCAATGTCACTCACTTCCACCAGTCACATGACCCCATAGCCACGCCTACCCAGCCGGTCATTAGGGCAGAGAACCAGTTGTTAAAAAACACCAGGAACCACAAAACCCTTTTGACATCTCTCTCTCTCCCCTCCCTCCCTCCCTTCCCCCTCCCTCTCCCCCCTCTCTGTATCTCTCTGTCTCTGCCCTGGCCGCTTCTCCATCCCCTGCCGTCACCCTTACCTTCTCAGGCCAAGCGAGAAGTGACTGGGAGGAGAGGGCGAGGGGTGGGGCCAGCCAGTGGTGGGATCACCTGATAGGGAGCCACAACAGAGGGCCCAAAGAGCCGCATGTGGCTCCGGAGCCACAGGTTGCTGACCCCTGACCTAGAACCAGAGGTGGTATTCGGCCGGTTCGGACGAATCGGTAGTGGAAATCTCCGGTGGGCCTACCCACTCACCCCGGCTCTATGCTGTCCTATTTAGGCACGTATTTGAGTCCGGGCACATGTGCAGAAGGCGTGTGCACAAGCAAAGGACATGCACGAAAGGCCGTGCTCATGTGCACGCGCATGCTCACATTTGCGAACCAGTAGGGAAAGTCAGTGAATACCACCCCTGCCTAGAACTAAGGAGAAATTTCCTGAAAGTGAAAACAATCAGTGGAATGGCTTCCCTCCAGAAGTGAGGAGTGCTCCATTACAGAAGGTGTTTAAGACAAGACAAGACAGAGATTTGTCCAGAATTGCATAGGGCCTCCAGCTTGAGCAGGAGGCTGGACTAGAAGACATCCAAGATCCCTGCCAATTCTCTTATTCTGTATTCAATTCTTTAGCCAGCTTTATCACCCTATTGGTGTGCTGTTGTTGTTGTTGTTAGTTGCGAAGTGGTGTCCGACTCATCGTGACTCCATGGACAACGTTTCTCCAGGCCTTCCTGTCCTATACCATTCCCCGGAGTCCATTTAAGCTCATGCCTACTGCTTCAGTAATTCCATCCACCTCATTCTCTGCCGTCCCTTTCTTCTTTTGCCCTCAATCTTTCCCAGCATTAGGCTCTTCTCCAGTGAGTCCTTCCTTCTCATTAGGTGGCCAAAGTATTTGGGTTTCATCTTCAGGATCTGGCCTTCTAAAGAGCAGTCAGGGTTGATCTCCTCTAGGATTGACCGGTTTGATCGCCTTGCAGTCCAAGGGACTCGCAGGAGTCTTCTCCAGCACCAGAGTTCAAAGGCCTCGATTCTTTGGCGCTCAGCCTTTCTTATGGTCCAACTTTCGCAGCCATCCATTGCAGCTGGGAAAACCATAGCCTTGACTATACGCACTTTTGTTGGTAGGGTGATGTCTCTGCTGTATTATTGATTGATTGATTGATTGATTGGTTCAATTTATATGTTGCCCTTCTCTGGAGACTCAGGGCGGCTTACAATGTGTTAGGTAATAGCCTTCATACTTTTGTATATACCTGCTTAGTAGGGCTTTCGGCCCCCTCTAAGCAGTGTTCTTTTTTATACAAAGTCATCTTATTTCCCCCACAATCCGGGTTCTCATTTTACCTACCTCGGAAGGATGGAAGGCTGAGTCAACCTTGAACCTGGTGAGATTTGAACTTGCAGTAATTGCAGGCAGCTGGCAGCTAAGTGCTACTTAACAGCACTTTAGTCCGCTGTGCCACCAAGGCTCTTAAAACATCCAAATGTGACAAAGGCATTCCTGCTGTAGATGCAAGAGCTGCCAAAAAACCCTGTGAGACCCCTCCCACCCCCATGAGAAAGTGGAAACATCTTTACCAGTTTCACCTTGAATATGGCCCACCGGTGACCTGCATCTTTTAAAGTTGGGTGAAACTCACTGTTGAGTTATTAACCCTAATACCTTTACCTTGATTGAGTTAGGGCTCAATCACCTCAAGCCCTGCTTTGAACTGCTGTTTCTTGTTTTTATTTTGCAGCCCATCCCATTA